CGTTGAAATAGGAAAAGTTCTAAAAAAAAATATATATCGGAGCTAACAATTGAATTACTGCAGACGTGCTCTGAGAAATGGGGTACAGAGTACACTTTTATGCGACAAAAATTCCAAACTAAAATATAGACCTTCGGTGTTTTTTTCAAATTTTATTTCAATTTTTCTCAAAATATTATATTGCGAAGAACGAAACCATTTGGGAGATATGTTCTAAGAAGACTTATTCTGCCGAAAATAAAACACGTATGACAAATCTAAATGGGAAGTATCAGTTCAAAGTAAATACATGATTCTATTTGTGTTAAAAACCGAGAGTATTTCTTATCTCAGATCAGTCGTATCTTGATTACATGAGTATTTTTCATTCCGTGGGATCCATCTCTTCAAAGTTCCATGCCTCACTTAATTTCGTTTTTCACAAAAGAAAATCAATTTCAACATGCTATGTTTTTTATGATTGAGTACGTATTGAATTATAACCTTCCAGGTGACTGAGTTCCATGGACAATTTTTCTGACTGCATCAAAAGACAAGCCTCTTGAAAATAGCAAAAGTATGACTTGTGATATAGTGATAACACGGCGATTATATGAAAACAACCTACTCGTCCACCTATTTGCGCACAATTAAAATTGAATAAACACTATCGCTCTGTCTAGTCAAGAATTTAGGCTATATGAATGTACTGTCACTGTTATCATACAATACCTTTTCGTAAAAACTGATTCCTGGGCTGTAATCTGATCACTGACCAGTTACCAGGCAGAGAAATGGTAACTTTCTGTTCCTGATAGCGTAGTCTGTAATAAACACACTACTCCCTCTGAAATGCAATTTTTAGGCTCAGCATACATTGTAATCACATGTCATTATCGTGTAAACTTCACCTTTAGATGCAACAGATCATTCTTCTGATTCTTCTGACCGCCGTTATCATTCACGCTCAAACTTGGCCAGGCACATATAATCTTAATGCATCATCATGCAACCAAACACAATGTTGCTGTCTCATTGGAACACTCAATATCACCCAGATAAATTCCACTTTGATACAAATTGCATCACCGGTGGCCGGAAACTTTTGTTTATCCTTATCTCCAATAATGGTCCAGATCAGTTCCCCATCGATGAATAACATCTCATTTGCATTTAATAATGACACAGTGACATTGGGATTAAGCAATGGCAGCACAATCATTTCATCATCTATGATGAATAATCCTCAATGTCGCAGTCAGGCAACACGTTTTAACATTACGGTCAATGCTACTACCACTACTCCTAAGAGCACGAGTACTACCAGAAATACCGGTAGCAGGATGAACAGTAGCAAGCGTATTCTGGGCATGCCGATTGGATTGGTGTATTTGATATTTGTATTTACTATAATCGTCGGAATAAATGGCTAGTTAGAACCAAACCAATCAGACTTGTTTATCGAAAACTATTTTTTTCTCAACATTCATTCTTAGCTTTTTCTTCTTCTAGCTAGCCTTTCCTGTAAAATTCTTTGAGTACAACCGTTTGTTTTTTCCTTTTCTGATTTGAGTTTAAAATAAAAGCTGATCTATAGTTAATAACGGTTGGTATTGTCTTAGAAAGATTCGAAAACGCTTGTTCCTGGAAAACTCGGAGCAGAATCCTGATCGAAATCTGGCAGGATTTATTTGTTTAAGATTTTTGACTAATCTTGTTTTATTTTTATTAAGATTTTTCTCCGATATAACTTCAATTCTTGGTTGAATCCTCGTATTTGGAGCCGGAGTAAATCTTGACAGAATTCTGTATTCTTAGTTTAGAAAATAATTTGAGCAGGAACCTGAAAACGATTCTGACTAATCATGGGAAATCCTGCAAACAGGGATTGTTGGGAGCCTTCGTAGCCTTCCTATATAACTTTTTCCTGATTACACTGAAGAAAGCTAACTGCATGCATAGATCGTTTTGAGAAGAGGTAAGACAAAAACTGAATTCCTTCATAGTATCAGATCTTAATGATGTAGGTGTGTGAGTCGGGAAGTGAACATCGGTGAGAAGAAGTGTCATACAGCTACCTTAGCCGATCGTTTAAGTATCAAATTACTGCTGGTTGATTGTCAGTATGCTGGCAGTTTTCGTTCGATTTGAGTCATATAAATAACGTTTCAAATATTAAAGTTGTAGTACAGATAAAAATGCTGCAGAAAATCAGCCCGAATTCGATAAAGTTCTTAGAATTGTTCCCGTTAATTGGCATCATTTCTTTAAACTGACTCTAGATCAAACACTTCTACATGAAGGATGAAACAATTTATCCTTATTCGTGACTGATAGCGACCTCTTTTGATTGCGTTTAGTATTGAGTAGTTTTCCATGACCGACACACATCCTTTCTCTTTCTTCCTTTCTTTTTCTTTTTTTTATGGGTTGTTCTGACTACTGGACTTGTTTATTTATTGTGTTACATAACTTGAGACAACTGATTGTTTCTAATCATCTAACAATTAAATAACTGTATATATATACATATATATATATATATATATATATATTATTTTAGCTTATTATATTTCTTATCAAGCAAAGATATGTTTATACGAGTAGCTGATGAAACAAAACCTACTGAAATTGTTGAAATTCCAGTTGATGGTGGTGCTGATGGATCAGTTTCATTGAGCACACTCGCTGCTCAATTTCAAGGTGTGAGTGCATTGAAATATCGCAATTCTGAGACGAGTGTGTGGAGAGGGTGAGTGAACGTGTTTGTTTGTTGTTTTAGATTTAATGTGTGTTGAGTGAAATGTGCGGTGGTAATATTCCTCCCCATTTTGCACTTTTTAGCTTTTATGTAAACTATACTTGTGTTTAATTATGCTATATGTATATATATATACCTATTTGTTTTTTTTATCTCTCAGTGTTCGAGTAGTGGATGGTCAACTTTACCATCCAGATGGTGAATGGGATCCAACTATTATCTATGTTACTGTTTATTCTAAACGTAAGTTAAATATTTTAATAAATAAAAAAAAAGAAATTAATTCGTAATTGTTTTTGTTTTTGGTACTAATAATAGCTGTTTCATCAGATATTAAACGAAAAGGAGTTGGTGAACAACAAGATGAAACAGTAATGTCATCTATAGGACAAAGTACAATACAAAAACTTGATTATGGACAAGAAATAAATTATGTTCATAATGAAGAAGAAAATGATCCAAATCGTCGTTGTGTTGATTTAATTGTACTTGGTATAAGTTATCGAAGTCTTGAAGCTGATGTTAAAAAATGTTTTGAAGCATTTGGTGAATTGATATTTTGTGAAGTAAGAATAAACAAAAAAAAGAAATTTGTTTCTTTCATGAACAAAAAAAAATATTTCTATAGATCAAACGAGATGCTAATGGACAATCACGTGGTTTTGGTTTTATTCGTTTTAAAAATTACGAATCTCAATTGGCTGTTATAAATAAACGTCATTTTATCGATGGAAGACATGTTGATGTTAAAATTCCAGATTCTAAAGTGAGAAAGTTTCTTTTTGTTTTGACTCTAAATTCGGTGTTTTATTTTTGAGTAATAATAATTCGAGATGTGCAGGATAAGCTTTTTTTAGTATCCTGACTAGGATTCTCGATTAAGATGAATTTCCTCAAATATGCGACTTTCTATTAATTTTTTTACAACTTTGGACAGAAACCGAATATTTGAAATACCATTTCCCTTGCTCTGGAAGAAAGTAAGATAAAAATAAACAATCAATGTCGTTGCAAGATCAATAGAATTTGGAACGAGACGACCTAGTGGCAAGTCATTTGTTGTGGTAGGAATTGGATCACTGTAGGTTTTCTTTGTGCCTCCGTCCCCAATCTTAATTTTCTAGCATTCCAAAGATGAAAGCATTTTTAGCTTCTTTCTACCCCTACAAAAGTATTATTTGTTACTTTCATATCTTTTTTTCATGAGATTAGTACTTTTATGTTCATTAAATAATTTCTTTTAAAATAGGAAGAGTAATATAATAGTTCTAATATGAAATAGAAAATATAATATATCTGTAATCTTTTAATAGATTCATTTAATATTAAACATATTCTTTTTTTGTTCTTAGACAAATATACATGAACCAGAATGTGCTCGAAAAATTTTTGTTGCTCGTCTACCAGATAATATAACACCAGATGATTTACGACAATATTTTTCGAAATATGGACCTATTAAAGATGTTTATATACCAAAACCAGCACGTTCATTTGCATTTGTTACTTTTCATGATTCAAATATTGTACGAACATTATTTGGTACACATATTATTAATGGTAAATAATTATCTAAAAAATCATTTTATTTTCCAAAAAACAAAAAACAAAATTTATTTTTCTTTTATCTTAGGTTCTAGTGTAACAGTTGGACCAGCTGAACCAAAAAATAAACCATCGGCTATTGGTGATTATCCTTCATCGACATTTAAACGAGCTAAACCTGATCATACTAGTTTACGTACATTAACATCATATGGTATTACATCAACACATCCTAGTTTTCATCAACAATATGGACAATCACCAAGTACGGATATGATGCATGCATATTTTCAACAATTTAGGGCTAATACAACTGGTTCATCGAAAGGACCATTTTCTAATCCACAACAATCCTATTGGAGTGGTGCACATGATGAAGCTGCTGCAATGTGGCAACAACAACAACATTATCGATAGAACAATGCAAAAATAAAACAATGTTTTTTTTTTCTTTTCTTTTCAATCCTATAATTCGACTTTCCAATGGTTTTTTTTTCTTGTCGTGTTTTTAAATGTGTATGTGTCTGTAAAGAGAGAGAGAGAAGAAAAAGAAGGATAAGATAAAAAGAAATATATATGTATCGTCGTTGTCTTAATGTATATGATGATAAACAAATAATAAACAAAAAAAAAAAATCTGTTCATTTTCTTTTTTTAATTAAATAAATATTTCTTTATGTGAATATAAAAGAGAGAGAAAAAAAGAACAATAAACCTAAACCCATTTGAGTGTTGTTGCTTGTAAGGGCATTTGTGTTAATGACCAAAGTTTATTTTGTTTTTTTCGTTCCGTTATAACCATTTGAAGATAACCTATATTTAATGATAATGTAAATAAATCATAAATATTTGGTTGTCGTCCAACTAAATCCCATGTTAATGTATCTGGTGATGTTGCATGACCAACAATCAGTATATTAAGTGCTGGAGAATTTTGATTATCATGTCGTTGTTCAATTTCACGTATAACATATTTTGAACGTAGATAATATGCATTTGCACGTTCCGTTTGAGGTACAGTTGGTATTATAGGTTGATAAGATAAATCAACATTAATTCCATATTTATGCCAATCAATTGATTTAAGAAATATACTCATACCAAATCTTGCAGCACCTAATTCTAATAGACCAGGTTCAATACGTATTGGTAATTGATTTTCTAATCCAAGACCTTTTAATATTTGATATGTTGTTAATATACAACGCATAGCTGGTGATGAATAAACATGTGTTGGTTCAAATTTATTTATTCCTAAAACTCGGCCAACATTTTGTGCAGCATTTAAACCATTACGTGTTAATGGTGTATCAAATGCCCAAAAAAATGGATTTGAACGAACAGGTAAATGTGGTGGAAGATTTGTATGATATGGATGATATTGACCAAAATGATCAAATGCTAACATAAACCAATTTGAACCAAAACATCGATCGACACGTTCACCATGTCGAATAATAAAAATTCGCATATCACAACCATCAATAGCATGTTCTTGTTGCTCGTCTTTTATATTATGTTGACATTGAGAAGGATAATGATCACGATAACGATGACGATGATAACGACTTTTTTCTAAATCACAATTTATTGCAGTTGTTGATGATCGAGAAGGAGGACGAACTGTTGAATCAAGATTACGACTTAATGTTTTCTTTCGAAGTGTTCTTTTTGAGTTATTATGAGATTGTAGATTTAAATAAATAACATCATCAGATCTAGTCGGTATTATATTAATAGGTATTGATGTCTTTACAGGAGATTTCCGATTGTTTGTTGTATTATCCAATAAAGAATCTTCATCTATATGCAATAAATTGATATTACTGCTTGTACTGGTCATCGTTGATTATACTATTAAAATCACTTTTTCTCCTCCTAATAGATCGATCACCTGTATAATGCACACACACTCCTTGGATACACTTTCTTTCGGTTTTTTTTTCTATATATACATCAAAACACCTGTATTACATCAAGCATGGCCTCTTTTTCTTACTGATTTCGACAAGGCAGACAGGTTTGCATCATAATGAAGGTTGTCTCTATTGCTTGTTTCATGGTCACATACAAAAGATATGGATGATAATATACATTCCTTTCTCTTTTTTCTCTCTTTTTGTACTATAAATATTTACAATTTTTAAACAAAAGACTAAATATGTCGTATGTTCCATATTTGAGTTGCTGCATTACGTTCAAGAACAATTGTATATAAATATGGTATTTGACTACATTGTTGTCCGAAGACTTTAGCATTGAATGGTTGTTCAAAAGCAATATTAGAAAATATTGGTGGTGTTGCTGCATGACCAACAATAAGTATATTTGAAACTCGATGAGATCTACGTCCACGACCAAATTTTTGTACCATATTACCATGACGTTGTTCAATTGTTTGAAAAAATTCTTGACTTCGATACCAAAAATCTTCTTCAGTTTCATATGGATTTATATAATTACTAAGAGGTTGATAATGTCGATCGATATTATAACCTGCTTTTTTCCATTCATTATTTGATATAAATGGTGACAAAATACCAAATTCTTGTAATGCTATATTCCAAGTCATTGGTTCAAATAGATATGGTTCAAGACGAATAGGTATTTTACTTCTATTCATACCACGTAAAATAGAACTTGCTGTAATAACACTACGACAAGCAGGTGATGAATAACAATAATCAATAGAAGTACTATGTCTAGATAATTGTTTTCCTTTATTAAAGGACTTTTGTTCACCTATTCGTGTTATTGGTGGATCATATACATAGAGTGAAGTATCTGAACGATGTGGTAATCGATGTGGTAATAATGGATGTCGATAATTTCGTGATGATGAACTACTACCAAAAACTAGATCATACCATTGATCACTAAATTCTACATCGATACGATCTGCATGTCGACATATAATTAAACGAAGATCATAGTTTGGTCTATGATTTTGAGAGTCATCATCTTTGTCATATATTTTCAAGAATTTATTTCTATTATAATAAATTCTATTATCATTAAACATAACGGGATGCTTGACTACTAACATTAAAATACGTAAATGTAATACAAAATACTTTTTTTCGAAGAGAAGACAAAAAAAAAGAAGAAGGAGAGAGAAAGTATGAAACAGTATTTATGGTGAGCGATCATGCATAGTAACTAAGAGATATATGAAATATGTGTAGAAATAAGCACATATGACGATGATATAAATCATGAATAAATATAAAAAAATTAACCCAAAAAAAAAACACAGTATCAAGGTTCAATAATCTTGTATCACCTGTATCTATTAAAAAAAAAAAGAACACGTAAAAAAAATTTATGATGCTATTTGATTTATTTTTGCTCATTTTTACCTGTATACGTTAATGAAAAAGAAAAGTACATCTTCAATGACATAAATTCATTAATTGATTAATTTAGACATTTCTACGAGGACATTAGTGTTGTTGTTATCGTCGTCCTTAGATACACAAAATCATGGTGGAAAACTAAAATGGCCTCATTAATTCATAATTAGAAATTAAATTTATAGAATGTTTTCTTATCTAAACGAATAAGTATCAAATGAAATGATAGAAATATTGATTTATAAAAAATCGACACACATATATATATATATGTTGTATCGAGGTTATAGCTCTGATTAAGTTAAACGAGCAAGAATTAAATATTTGAATGAGATCATCAGAAAAATACAATAATAGATAAATTTTTCTATACAAGAAAAAAAAATCAATGATGCACAAGAGATTCTTTGTAAGAAGGCAAGAAAATACCTACAGATGATTATCAGGTTGAATTATTCGTAAACTATGCTTCTTTTTTTTTCGATTAGCACCAAGTAGAAAAACTCTGAATGAACGGATAAAAACTTAAATCTTGACATCGTATTCTTACTTTGCATGATTTGACAAATTTGTGGTTTTCTTATAGAAATTGATTGCGTGCTGTTCACTTGGAATATATAGCTGAGTGATAACATAATGATTTGTATAACATCAGTTTCCAAGTTGCCTCAATGTGAAAATTAGATTTGAGACCTTGACTTATAAAATGTGGTACAAAAATTTAAGACACTGCTTCGTTTGTGAATAATTTTACTCGAGCACAGTCTATGAAAGGCATCAAACAGTAATTTCAATAGTCTTCATAATGAGCTACAAAGTTGAGATATAAATGCTCTCTTAAGTTTAATTATTTGAGTTACTATTGTATGATTTATTTTGATACAACGGACAAAATTCGAAAGCTCTTTTGATATTCTATCAATTTTTCGCTATTCAATAATCATTAAAACCTGTTTTCCATGCCACTCAACAGTTGAACCCATCGGATCCAAGAATTTCTGGATCCGGACCCGCTCGAAACAAACTTTTCATACCCGAACCCTATTCGGACCCGGATCCAGATCCGAGTAGAACCCGATAGACTCTACTCAACAGGCTATATTTTCATAAAAAGTACTTTTCAAATATTATTAGTCTTAATTAATTAGTATTAACTAACAGTTATAGAAAATTTTTTTTTTGTTTGAAGTGCATCATTCGAAAGAGTCTTGAAAATTGAACTTAGCTTTATATTACTTGTATCGAAACGATTCGTTTTATTCAGATAATAATTGGATTAATAAATCTGACTATTACTACTGTACTATTGTTTTAGTACGGTTGAACTCTATAACGCATGTTTGAAATTTAGAATTTAATGTATTTTACAGAGCAGACTTTATACAGTGTCCCCAAAGCTTCTGAGGAAAGTTTTCGTGTATAACTCTCAAATAACTCCCGCGATTCAGATATTTAAAAAAAAAATATTATAATGCATTCTTTGAAGTCTTGTTCTGTATACTTTTCGATAAATGTCTGTGTCTAAGAACATTTAAACACAAATATTTTTTGTAAATGATCACATTTGAGTCACCTATGGTTTGTAGAGGAAAATCGCAGATCGACTTTGAATAAAATACAATACATGAAAATTGCATTAAGGCTGCATTTCAACCCTTTTTTTGAAACTGATACAGTGAAAAATCGAGAAGATTTTTGAAGACCGTCAAAAATTGTAAAAGAGAAAGTCGACAAACTTCACGATGTTTGTGAAAATCAGCCACCATGAAGTGGGAGAACTCTCGCAACGATCTGACATACTCAATTAATATTAGAGCGCTGAAATATGATAGAATACTTTTTTATAGAAGCCGTTCGAAGTGTAATTCGTCCGTGGAATGGGCCTAGGCATTTTGTGACCTCTTGCACTTCATAGTGGTTGATTTTCACAAATATCGTGAAGTTCATTGACTTTCTCCTTTACAATTTTCGACGATCTCTAAAAATCTTCCCGATCTTTTACTGTATCAATTTCAAAAAAGCGTTGAAAAGCAGTTTTGATACAATCTTCATATGTTGTATTTTTTTCAAAGTCGATCTTCGATTTTCGTTTTCACACCACAGGTGACTCAAATTTGACCATTAACAAAAAATATACTATAATATTATTAAAAAAAACATGTACGAATCGTTGGAACTATTTAAGAGTTATTCGCGAAAACTTTTCTCGGGAACTTTTAGAACATCCTGTACTTTCGAATGAGATATAATTGTCTTCTATGCAATGTGCTCTTAAGTCAGCGCAACGGTTTTACTTTTCAAGAATGATTTGAATGATATTTTCTAATCCTTTTTATTCGATAAGATGGTCAACCAAACCAAAATTGTTGTATCGATTGAAGAGAACATACTATAGAAATCAGTTAAATCTCATTCGAAGGTGTACAGTCTATTATGTAAAATAGACTAAATCCCAAATTTTGAACGTACATTATAGAGTTCAACCATATTGAAATAATATCACAGTAGTAGCTCGAAATTTTTGTTTCCAGATTTGAAGTCTGTTGTATAGTTGAATACTCAATCATCAAATATAAATTTAATAAAACATATAAAGAGTGCCGCGTTAATTTTTCTATCTTTTTTCCTTCATTCATTTTTGTTTGTTTTCTTTTTTATGCTATGATAAACATATATGATGAATATATGTGAAAAATATGTCATCAATCCATGTGAAACATTAAATTATTGTTCAAATATCGATGATTATCGTCCAATACAATCTACATTATTAACACGTTTTACAACAACAGATTGTTCAGAATTATGGCGAACAACAAATCAAGAGTATGGAGCATTTTATTATCAACAATTACCACAATATTGTATACCTGATAATCTAAAAGCTAAAAATTATCAACGTCATAATCGTTTTCAAGATTGGCTTTCATATCAAAATAAATATCAAAATTTAGTAACATCATGTACAACAAATTCAAATAATAATAATAATATTAATCAAAGAATATTTCCATCAGATAGAAATGAAACTGTACGTATAACACATCGAAAAAAATTTTTATCTCAATGTAATGATGAACTATATCATAATCAACAAAATTCAAATACTTCCTCACCATGTGGTGAAGATGGATTAGTAAGAATTTTTAATATAAAATTTTAAAACAATAAATAATAAATTTTTCTATGTAGATTACAGAATATATTGTTAAGAAAATACTTAATAAATTACGATGTTTAATTTGTCCTGATGAATATCATGATGTTGCTGAATGTGCACAAATACTTGTTAGTGAAATTCTAAGTCAAGAAGTAAAGACCAAAAGAAGAATAAAAATTTTTCTTCATATTACTTAGAACATACGAAAAATAATAGCGAAAATATTTTATTTCCTTAAAGAAACTTTCTTTCTCTAAAATCTGATAGTAAAAATAATGCTCGACATTTCTCTGAAAATTTTAATAATAAAATTTCGATGAGAGTCGTTTGTTATGATTAGATCACATATCGTCTAGTCTAATGTCTAACTGTCTATACGTATTAGGATATAGAAAAAAAAATGATGAAAAGAAATACAGCAGCAAGTTCATTAAGTTTTTACTTAAGTTAATCTTCGGATTTGACACCGTGTGATTTTTTGGTATCAAATAAAATCTAAACGATTCGAAATCATTGTATCATATTGTAAACACGTTCATGACTGCTAAGGATTAGAGGAGATGAGAGATAGTTGAAGAATAATCAAATCCTATCAGACCGTATAGAAAGAGTGTTTCTTTAATAAATTAAAATACTTCCGCCACTATTTTTTTTATGCTCCAAGTATTTTTTTAAAATCTATCTCTTCAGCCATGTTTATTGACAAATGAAATTATCGATCGAGTTGTTACTATTATGATTACTCCTCCAAATAATATTGAACAAACAATTTATAATCCTTGTTATTCATATATTTCAACAAAACCAATATGTTGTCCTTCTCCACAAGCATTACAAGGTAATTGTCAAACAATACAACAATCAAATATAGTTAATAATGAAACTCCTATATGTACAACTGTGAATAGTTCAGTTCCATTTATTAATTGTAATCAAACTATATCTTTCTCCAATGTTTTTGATAAACTTATTGATCTTGAAGTATATTCTAATATTTATCTTAAATCTAATTATTATTATTATTATTTTGCCTTATTGATTTTTTTTAGAATGCTATATCAAAAATTTCCAATGATTTTGTTAAAGCATAAATTTCTTTTTTTATTATTAAGCAATTTTACATAGTTTAAGCGGAATTAATAAATATAATGTTCAAGATAGATAGAAATTTTATTTTTTATGTACTTGTTTTTGTTCCAAGGTGTTGACCACTAAATGGACAGCTACCACTGCTAGTTGATCCTGGTCTTTGTTGAAAATTTGATGATCGTTTTATTGATGGTGAATGATCTGCTGCAGGATTAACATCCAATTTTGATTTAGTCGTAGTTTCATACATAGTTGCTTGATGTTGACTAATTGCTGCATGAGTTTCATCCTGATATCGAAATGGATCTTGTTCAATAGCAGATGTATAATCAGATTTCGGACCAATTAACCAATATGTTTCAACTGCACCTTTACCCTAATGTTTTTTTTTTAATTAAGAAAAAACAAACAAATCTAATTTCAAGAATAAATATTTTCTTACTTTAAGTTCCGTTTTGCCTTTATTTTGAATTTCAAAATAAATTGTATCTTTAAGAAGTGCATAAGATGTATCGCTCATATGAACTCGTCCTGGCTAAAATTATTGAAAAAAAAATTATTACAAACAAAGAACAAAGTCTTCTTTACTTCTCCTGTCGTTGTTATTCGACTTGCCTAAAGTATCCAAAAAAAAACAAGAAAATCTAATTAATTATAGTAAGTCTTCTTTTTTTTACCGTATTAATTGTATCACCAAAAAGACAATATTGAAAATTTTTTGCACCAACAATTCCACCAACAGCTGAACCGGAATGAAAACCTATGAAGAAATTTGAAGTAATCATTAGAAAAAGAAAAAGCAAAATATATTTTTTTGTTTACCAATTTTCACTCGAAATGGTTGTTGTGTCATTGGATTGATAAGTCGTTTGGAACTTTTAACTAAGTCAAGCGAAAGTCCAGCAATAATTTCTGCTTGATTAAGACCTAATGGATTTTTCACATCACTAGCAAGATCTTCAGTAAGTGCTACACTATGTAATGTTGATCCACTCTATCAAGAAAAATTATAGGAATTTAATTAATAAGAAAGATATTCACTACTAAGTTTTAAATACTTGAATCTAATCATAATTCTCAAAAAAAAAAAAGAAAAAGAAAAGAAAATATAGATTTTTATGAATGTTCTAATCGATATTTTTCACAGTAAAAAAAGTTAATTATTAGCAGCAAAAGTAGAAGATAAATACATTCAAAGATTCTATATGTTGATTATCTAATACTACAAACAATTCTAGAAAAAAATAATAAACCTTACAGCTATTGATTCACGTCGTTGTTGAGCTGCTGAACGATCTTGTATACCAGATACGACCATATAAGATGAATCTGCTTTTGTTTCAACTCTAAATACATCAAAATGTTCTGCACATTGATCGAATGCATTTACAGTTGCATTTATTGATTCAACAATTTGTTCTGGTTTTAACTTTTGTACAACTTCTTTAAAATCAATTGAATATGCAAAAAGAACCGTTATTAATTTATGAGACTAATATATAACAAAAAATAAAAATAAAAAAGTAAAAGATTCATTTCTTTTTTTCTTTTGTTTGAAAGTAATTAATTTTCTTACTTCACATATTGAATTAGCTAAAACACCATCTTGTAATAATTGTGCAACATGTCTTGGCATCATATTATATAGAAGACGTTTTCCTTTTCGACGCCATTCTTGTAATTCACGTTTGGAATTTTTTAATTTACCTATCCATGCTTGTTGTTTATCAATAGCTGCTTGTAATGTTTGAGCATGTTGCATACCAGCAATAAGAATTTCACTACTACCATCATAAAAATTTAAATCATCTAAAAATAAACCAACACCAAGCATTTCTTCTGTTGTTGTTAATCTAAATAAAAGATAAATTTAATGTTAGAATTAAATTCAATATTAATATATGTATGTATATGTACACTGGACGACAAAGAAAAACAATCATATTCCAAGCAGGAAGTGATTTCATTTGCCCTTTAAGACGAAGTTGTACATTAGATGCTGTTGTACCAAATTTTTTTGCAAGTACAGATGCATTCGGACGAAGTGGTATTCGATTTTCAATTACAAATACTAAATGTCGACCATAAGCAAGTACCTGAAGAATTATTTAGATAATTATTTTCTTTTTTTATGTTTTAAATAAATATGAAAACAAACTCGATTCCATTCAAGTAATATATCTGGTCGAATAAGACGAAAAACATCTTCAAAATGACGACCATGTAATACAGTACCAGCTGGAAAAATAAATTTTATTTTATTTCCCATGTGATGTATACGCATATTTGCATCAATTAAAATAGCAAATGGAAATACCTATAAATAATTAATTCAAGTTTGAATTTATTATCAAATAGAAAAGTTCAAAGAATGATATAAACTTAATATTATATTTGATGAATATTAAGTCTAATCAAGTCAGTAAATATCTTATTTTTTAATCTTGAAAATGATCTATTCGAATATTTTCTTTTTATTGAGTTTATTAAAAATATAATCTTTATATTCTTTTGACATTTCAATAGAACAATTTTTAGTTCTTTCGTTTTTTCATAAATGCACATTCCAAAGTTATACATACTTTTCTTATAGATGTTTCCGTATGAAATGACGTCCTGCAGCTCATTAGATTGAAATTTTTTCTTTCTCTTTTTCAAAAGAAAAAAAGTCTTACTTTAAAAAATGTTGCACCGGTCACATTAGGTAATTTTGGATTTTTCACAAGAGATGTTTTAATTTGACTTGCTAACTTATTATTAAAATCCACACGAAAAACAATATGCGTATCTAGAATAATGATATGTATATATATATATGTTTTTTTTTCTTCCTTCAAAAATTTTCAAAAACTCTTACATTCATTTGATGATAAATCATCCTGAATACGAATAAATATTTCTTGTTTAAAAAATTTTGATGCACATGTTCTTAATTGTCCAATGATATATTGTTGAAAACCTCGACGTTTTGATCTAAATTTTTATAAATAAATCAAATAGTTTCTTTTTCTGAAAAAATTTTTGTTTTAATTTACTTATAATGTAAAACTGCACCATTGTCATCTTCATCTGTAACATGAAATAATGGTGATTTCATTTTTGGAAAACTAAATCTATTTGAATCATGAAGTTGATCAATTGAAAAAAGAAATTCACGAAAATGTCGACCTGCTACACGTAAAATTTTATCGAAGCCATAGTTTGTAAAAAAATTTACAAAACATTCGCCAAAATATTGCATATAAAAATCTGGTCCACCATCATTTAAAGTTTCAGCAAGACCTACAAATTGATTCATATTAATATATATATACATATATATATAATCGATAAAAATAAATCAATTGTATCAAAAAAAAAACAAACAATCTTACATTCAGCAAGTCTTTCAATGAGAGTCTCATCATAACGTCCAAGAGTTGTAAATGATTCAGATTCAAAACTTAATTCTTCGACAAGTCTTTGCCATACTGATGTTCCATATGTATGACAAATACCATCTCGACAACTTTCAAGTAATATTCCGTAGATCATTTTTTGGTTTTTTTATTTTTGTCTTATAGAGTCTCTTCTTATATAGGTATATATATATATATATATATAGAAGTGCAAATATGAAAAAAAAAATTGCGGATATATGTTCCAATAACCTTAATCGCATTTCCTCTCTTCGATATTTCATTTCTACACTTCGACAACCAATGATTTTCCAGTCGTGTTACTTAACTTATTTTCCTTGAGAAAAATTAGAAAAGCTTATTAGAGAATTAATAATAAAAAAAAAATGATTATCAAAAAATTAGATTATATGATCAGTCATGTAAGTTATCAGACAAACCATATTTTGCAATATTTTATTTAAAAAAAGAATATCTTCATATTTTCTAAGTGAATATCATTAGATGATGATTAGATAAAATGAACAGTTTTTTCATCTTTTTCCTTGAAGTTTATATAAATGGTAAAAAAAAGTTAATTCATTTTTTTTTGTCTTGCACTGGCATACAGAAGATCAATTTCTGAAAAATATCGTCTTATATGTTCTCTTCATTGTGGAATGTTTGTGATTTATATATGTATGAGGCGACAGAAACTTTTTATTTAGATAATAGATTTTATAGGACAAAAAAAAAGAATATCTATATAAATAAGTTAAAAAGAAAAGAAAAGAAATCATTTAGTATGTATTTTTGTTTTGATCGACTGTTCATATTTAATTTTTATTTTTCGTTTTAAATAAAATGCCATTCGACATCTATTTGACCAGTGCCAAGTTCTCCAGCAATTGCAATAAATGCTTCTTCTGTTAAAGCAACATCACCTAAGAAAAAAAAAATATGAAAATAAGAAAAAACATACATACACACACGTAATCTAATAAAAATATATGTACCTGTTTTACAATCAGGACATCGATCAATAAATCGAACTATTATTTCACCTTTTAGACCTTTGATTATAGCTTTCTTTTGACAGATTGGATTTGTACTTGGAATACCATTGATAGTATATGGATCGAATTGTATCTGATTAAGTGCAGCACCATAAATTTTTTTATCATTTTCATCCAATGATTGTCCTCGTTCAATACCACATGTTGAGTATTGTGAACCAACCTTGGTATCATTGTAATACGTCGCTTGTCCTTTAAATTCACCTTCAAGTGATACTGGTTCATTATCACCTGATGATTTTTGAAATGCACAATAAACACCAATTGTACCACAGCTAGAATTATTCAAAAACAAAAAAAAGAATTGATTATCAAATAGAAATATAAATGAATCTACATACTATCCATATCGTGTACAACAAAGACCCGCACCACATGATGTAGCACCACAATTACCATAAGAAACAGTTCCACAATAAGCGGCTGTAGCTCCACAACTATATAGATTAAAATAATCAAATTTCATATAAATATTTTCTTTCTTTTATAATAAAAAAAGCGTAACTTACTATCCATATTGTGAACAGCATGAACCAGCTGGACAACCAGTTACTCGACATTGACCTGCATTAGGAGCAGGTACAACAACAACAGTAGTAGGACCACCACAATATTCAGGCGTTTGTCCACAACTAATTCATTAGAAATCTATCGTATAGAAAAAAAATATTTCAAATAAACAAAATACATACTAGCCATAAGGTGAACAACAATAACCAGCTCCACAACCTACAATACGACAATCACCACCAACATGTGGTGTACCTGTCCATCCTGGATACACAGAAGCCGATGAACCACAATGTTGAGCACCTGAACCACAAACACCAAATGCTGAACAGCAAAGACCAACACCACAATATCCAGTTATTAAACAATTCCCAGCTAGAAGAAATCGTATAATTATTTATAAACAAAAATCTATTGTTGTTTTTTTTAAATTTTTCTCAAACTTACCAGCACTATTCACAAGTGAAAGTAGTAAAAGACTAATACAACCAGCGACGTACATGATAATGTTTTGTATGAATGTATTTCGATATATTGAATTCGAATGTAAGATGAAGATGATACTTATAGTTATAAAAATGCAAGGAGTTTTACGCTTCTCGTACGTTTAAATAGATCTTTAATCCATGAATAAATATTCGTGCATTTATAAATATACATTAAAGAACAATATCCTTGACGTCTACTTATTGATTGACATTTGGCGATATATCTATGCACAATTGTAAATGATCCCAATAGAAGGTTAACCAACTTCATTTTATACTTAATACAAAATTCAAACTTGACTTTTTTCGTATTCAAATTTAAAAATACTTTTCGACAACCGTAAAAAAAACATAAAACGTAGGAAGAATGAATTATATAGGTCATCTAATCCTTGTTATTGATATAATCCCGTATTTATTTTTAAAATACAGATCATTATGTATATTGTTAGACTTGATCTAGATTAACATATGGCAGTTAACTAGGAACATATCAATTATTGATCGTTCAATTTTTTTTTTGTTATTTTTTTTTGTAGTTTTTATTAAGACTTTTCCTCCATTAAAAAAAATTGATAAAATCTTTGCATTATTTTTGTCATGGTAAAGTTTTTGAATATAAATCTCAGTGGGTATTATTTCGATTTAATTTTATTTTTAGAATTTGATTTAAAGCAAAAAAAGCACTTCTAATCATATTTATCCAATTAAATATTATCATATATATACAATTTTCAATGTCAAGTTATATTCCTATTGAATCATATAATATATTATTAGTACAAATTAAATATATTAATATTTTTAATGGAAAATTTAAATTAAAGTATGGCATTAAGGACAATCTACTGAGGATGATCAGATTAGATCATGTATAGTTTGAAGCTGTGTAATGTTACAAGATAGAACATTATTTTGAGTTGATAGAGAAATTTGTTGAATAAGAGAAGATTAATTATTCAATGGATTAGGAATTGATCAATGATCAAAAGCATTGCTTTCATCAATAATAAAGGATAATGAAAACAATTTCATGACGCATTTGTGAAAAAGAATGAAGATAATACATGATGGTAATACATAACTTTTACTAATAATTCTATGTGGAACAAATGGAATGAAAAATCGAATATAAAGATGCTGTGTTGATTGTTGTTCAGCAATAAAAGTATAAATAAAAAAACAAAAAACTTTTCTGGTTTATACAACCGTTGATCAACTTTCTATCGAGGGCACATATCCAAGGGTCAGATCACTTTTGAGTCAAAACTATCTGCATCATATAGATTCTAATGAGTTCCCTGAAAAAAAGTTTGCACTATTGGTTTATCACTGCCGAGATATTGCATTTTTTAGTACAATGTCGTGGTTCCTCTCGAGAACACCAATATAATTGAATTTCAAATTTCGACTAGAAACTTTGCACTGAGCAAGACTTTAACAAGAATAGTTTATTGTGGAAGTTATAAATTCTTTTAATTACTTCTATTCTGAAATAAGAATATCGGTGTTTATAACTGAAGTTAAAAATGTGCTTTTACTATAGTTGTATCTTAGGATAGGCAAAAATAAAATGATCTGATACTTTCACAACAAGCAATTCTCGCTAAGACTTGTGTCTACGCAAAGTTTTAAGTCGAAATTCGAAATTGAATTATCTTGGTGTTTCTGAAGGGAACTACAATATTATACTAGAAAATGCCGTATTTCAGCAGCAATAAACCAATAGTGCAAACTCTTTCTCAGAATATTCATAGCTTATTATGATCTACATGATACACATAGTCCTGACTCAAAAGTGATTTGACATTTGGATATGTTTCCTTGTAAGAATAGTTTACAATTAATTGGATAGTCATTTATCGCCTCGATCATTGATTTCGACGAGACATATGAGATTATCTGGATCGAATAATATTTACTATAAAACAGTAAAGAAGAAGGTAAGACAATAGAAGTCAACATAATACTTAGGTTAATACTTTGTGAGCCATCGGTATGTTTTTGTGGTATTTTCGTCCTTGACTTTTTCGTCGAAATATAATGATAACAGATCTTACACAGAAGAAAAATCTACAATAATCTTTAGTCATAATTAATTTACATTTTATATAATCGTAATTTTTTCTTAGATAGGTGAGGAACAGCTAAACTCATTCATTATACTCTCATCGATGATATCATTCTGACATTTGATTATGAAATATTATTGATATATGATGACATATGTCTATCTGATTTATTGGATTGATAAACTTACAAATAGTATGAATAAAATTTTCATTGTTGATTAGTTCCGTTGCACGGATAATAAATGAATTACTCGGCAAAGATCTTGAAGTATATGTAATGCCAATTCAGTTACATATTGTATGGATATGATTCGAATTTATGTACAAAAATTATGATTTTCTTTTTTTTTATCATAATTTTAATTCGAAATGTTAGCTTGATATTCTGCGGCATCTTTTATTTGCTTATTGATTCATTTCTTATTATTGTTGCATTGCAACTTAAATCAAAGCAGCGATGTAAATGGTGGCAGCAAGAAGATCGTTTTTTTCTTCTTCGTTTACTCGTTCTGTTTTTAAGAGCAACCGATAAAAGGAAACATTATTTACTTGAAATATTTCTAACACAAAAACAATGTGGTTGTTGATCGAGTGATTGTTAAAAAAAGAGAACAAACTTTAGAATTCTAGAAGAATGAATATTCAACGTGATCCATCTCCACCTATTGCTGAATCAGTAATAGCTTCAACTCGACAAAATCCAAATCAATCAATAATAAAAGTTAATGAACAATTTTTACAAGAACCAACACTTGCTTTTCTTGAATCTTATCAAAATCATTTACGTCCAGCTCTAGCATCAGGTATATTTGTATTACCATTATCGAGATTACAATTAAATTCAATTGGTGATATTGGACAATTTAAACATATACAAATATGTGATTTAAATTCAAATTTTATTGAAACAATTGATAGTCTTATTATTAATTGTCGACAATTAATTAAACTTGATTTACATTCAAATCGAGTATGACAATACATAAGAAAAATAACATCATATGAAAAAAAAATTTCTTATTTCATTTTAGATTAATCAATTACCTGATGGAAAATACTGGAAACACATGTTACAATTAAAAGTTCTTTATTTACATGATAATCTTTTATCATCATATGATGATGTTAAATTTCTTGCTTATGCACCAGTTGTCGAAATTCTTACACTTTATGATACACCATTAAGTTTAAAAAAAAATTATCGACATCACGTTGTTAATAGTATTTGGTCTTTAAAAGTAAATTAAAATTAATTAAATATTTTTTTTAATGTTCTTTTTGTTTTTGTTTTTGAATCGATTTTAATTTTTAAGGCATTAGATACATATGTAATTGCTGATGATGAAATTATAGAAAAAACTAATTTTCCTGAACCTTATGCAGCATATTCAAATGTATTTAAATTAAATTTATATGTTCCAACTGGTAAAGTAAGAAAAATAAATGAATAATTAATTAAACATCTGCATTATTTTCTATTTTGCTCATTGTTTCTTTTTTCTAGAACTCAACATTAAGTACTGAACGTCAAATGATTCAACAACTTTTTAAACAAGTCAATCATATTCAATCACACCTTTGTCCAGTATTAATTTTACAAAAAAATTTTCGTATGTGGCTCGTTCAACTTCGATTAAAAAAATATATATTATTAACTCAAAAGTAAATCGAATAAAATATTTTCTTTTGTGAAATACGATCAATAAAAAAACGAGTGTTAAAGTATAGACATAGAAATTTGCACCCATTCCTTCAGTCGAGTCTGGATCTATCTGACGGGCTCTATCGACTTCCCATTCAACACAGACTGTGATAGATGCTAGCTAGAGATTATTACACATCGTAACAGACTAGGGATACTCGATTCGGGGGTTAGAGTTGAGATTGACGATTCCGATTTCAATTTACAAGAATATTCGAATCGAAAGCATTAAAGTAGTCATTATGAAAGTTTGCTTCATCATCTTCTTATTCTTCAATAATATTATTTTTGTTGTGATCCAAAAGATCCATGTGATTTCTGTTCATTCCTAATTCATTGCTGCACGCCGATACTATGTTGGAGTTGTTTCCGTGGATGTTGTATTCGTAATTTAGGACGAACGGTTCCGATTCACAGAAAAAATTTACACTTGCTAATTCCAAAAAATATTGATTTTGCCTATGTTTATGACAGACAGTAGACAGTGACAGATATTGTTGATATATGATCAAAGAGCTTTTGTTTTTAAATCTTATATTTTTATTTTTTTTAGACCTCCTCCAAAATTTTTACGTCCAAGAAGTCTATTCTCACCAATGAGTGGTTTATCCGAAAAATTTTCTTCACAACCAAAACCACCTCGGACATCGGCTCTAACTGATGCATATCATAGTATAGAGGTTTTAATAAAAAATTTCAAAACAAAAATAACAGCAAACAAACATCTTTCAATTCTTTTTTTTCTTTAGCAAATAAAAACCCCTGAATCATATCAAGATAAACGTCATATGAAAATTCAGATGAATCAATTAATTCATACTCAAACTGGTACAAATCGTTTACCTTATTGCACTACTGATATAAGTCATCGTTCAAGACAACTTATTACTAAAACAAGTACATCAAAATATTCTGATGATAGAACATCACCTATACTTCGTGGTCAAAAATCTCAAATGACTGTTTATGAGCCAATAGAAGAATTAAATGATGAAATTCGTGCAGCTAGACAATATGTACAAAATATAAAAGATGAATCACATTTACAACAACGTAAACTTGCAGCTGAAATCAAAGAAAATAATATAATGAATCGAAATTTAATTAAAAATCGTACATTAGATGATCGACTTTTAAGAACAATACATGGAGGTATGGCATTTGGATGTTTAGTAGCTATTGATAAAGCTTATAATGAAAGAACAAAAGTTGAACGACGAAAATTACTTGCACAAGAAAT